TGCAGATTCAGTCTTCCCAGCCTGGTGTAGGTCTACAATTTTGTTTCTGGTGTCCTTTGACAGCTCTTTGGTCTTGGCATAGTGGAGTTTGGAGTGTGACTGTTTGAGGTTGTGGACAGGTGTCTTTTATACTGATAACAAGTTCAAACAGGTGCCATTAATACAGGTAACGAGTGGAGGACAGAGGAGCCTCTTAAAGAAGAAGTTACAGGTCTGTGAGAGCCAGAATTCTTGCTTGTTTGTAGGTGACCAAATACTTATTTTCCACCATAATTTGCAAATAAATTCATTAAAAATCCTACAATGTGATTTTCTGGAAATAAAATTCTCAATTTGTCTGTCATAGTTGACGTGTACCTATGATGAAAATTACAGGCCTCTCTCATCTTTTTAAGTGGGAGAACTTGCACAATTGGTGGCTGACTAAATACTTTTTTTCCCCACTGTATATGGAAGAGTGACACCGCCAAGCAAGCAGATGTGGCTAAAATTATTAACTTCCTATATTCGATCTGAAAAAAATATGTCTGGGGGGACTTTCAGCAGTTTCTATAGTTGTCACCTTAACTGCTACATTATTATTTTCTTCATTAATGTATTATTATTATTATTATTATTATTTGTTTTTGCCTTGAATAATTTATTTTTTAGCATTGGATGTGAAGGTAATTTATTTTTTATTTTTTTTGTTAATCATTGAAGCTAATATCGGTAGAGGGGAGGGAGGGGGGTGTTCATGTGTTGGGGAGGGAAGGGTTTTGCACGATGTGCTCCCATGTAGCATGCAGTTATGTGTAGGTGGAAGGAATAATGGGGCATTATCTGTGTCATATTTTGCTGATGTTTGTTAAATAGTAAAAAAAAGGCAATAAATATATTGTAAAGAAAATCAATAAAAAAAAGGGAAAACCAGCCACGTCGCAGACACCGACGTCTTGCTCCCGGACAAGCTAAACAACACCTTCGCCCGCTTTAAGGATAACACAGTGCCACCAACGTGGTCCGCTCCCAAGGACTGTGGGCTCTCGTTCTCCGTGGCCGACGTGAGTAAGACATTTAAGCGTGTTAACCCTCGCAAGGCTGCCGGTCCAGAATGTATCCCTAGCTGCATCCTCAGACCATGCGCAGACCAGCTGGCTGGAGTGTTTACGGATATATTCAAGCTCTCCCTATCCCAGTCTGCTGTCCCCACATGCTTCAAGATGGCCACCATTGTTCCTGTACCCAAGAAAGCAAAGGTAACTGAACTAAATGACAATCGCCCCGTAGCACTCACTTCTGTCATCATGAAGTGCTTTGAGAGGCTAGTTAAGGATCATATCACCTCCACCTTACCTGACACCCTAGACCCACTTCAATTTGCATACCGCCCCAATAGATCCACAGATGATGCAATCGCCATTGCACTGCACACTGCCCTATCCCATCTGGACAAGAGGAATACCTATGTAAGAATGCTGTTCATTGACTATAGCTCAGCCTTCAACACCATAGTACCCTCCAAGCTCATCATTTAGTTCGGGGCCCTGGGACTGAACCCCGCCCTGTGCTACTGGGTCCTGGACTTCCTGACGGGCCACCCCCAGTTGGTGAAGGTAGGAAACAACACCTCCACTACGCTGATACTCAACATAGGGGCCCCACAAGGGTGCGTGCTCAGCCCCCTCCTGTACTCCCTGTTCACCCATGACTGCGTGGCCAAGCACGCCTCCAACTCAACCATCAAGTTTGCAGACGACACAACAGTAGTAGGCTTGATTACCAACAATGACGAGACCACCTACAGGGAGGAGGTGAGGGCTCTGGGAGTGTGGTGCCAGGAAAATAACACTTAACTGACAATCTGAAATGGTCCACCCACACAGACAGTGTGGTGAAGAAGGCGCAACAGCGGAGGCAACCTCAGGAGGCTGAAGAAATGTGGCTTCTAAGAAATTTGGCTTGGCCCCTAAGACCCTCACAAACTTTTACAGATGTACAATTGAGAGCATCCTGTCGGGCTGTATCAGCGCCTGGTATGGCAACTGCACCGCTAGCAACCGCAGGGCTCTCCAGACGGTGAAGCGGTCTGCCTAACGCATCACCCGGGGCACACAGCCTACCCTCCAGGACACCTACAGCACCCGATGTCACAGGAAGGCCAAAAAGTTAATCAAGGACATCAACCACCCGAGCCACGGCCTGTTCACCCCGCTATCATACAGAAGGCGAGGTCAGTACAGGTGCAGCAAAGCTGGGACCGAGAGACTGAAAAACAGCTTCTATCTCAAGGCTATCAGACTGTTAGCCATCACTAGCCATCACTAGCCAGCTACCACCCGGTTACTCAACCCTGCACCTTAGAGGCTGCTGCCCTATGTACATAGACATGGAATCACTGGTCACTTTAAATGGAACACTAGTCACTTTAATGATGTTTACATACTGTTTTACTCATTTCATTTGTATATACTGTATTCTACTCTATTTTAGTCAATGCCTCTCAGACATTGCTCATCCTAATATTTATAAATTTTTTAATTCCATTCTTCTACTTTTTGATTTGTGTGTATTGTTGTGAATTGTTAGATACTACTGCACTGTTGGAGCTAGGAACGCAAGCATTTCGCTACACCCGCAATAACATCTGCTAAATATGTGTATGTGACCAATAAGAATTGATTTGATTCAATGTAGACTATAAAAATTGCACAATAATTATACATTTATGGATTTTTTATGGTATTGTTTTTCTTTATTCAACCTGTCCGCCACCCACCTGCCCTTCAGCCACACAATATTTAATGACCCTAAACCCGTCTGCCCCCTGGTTATAACCGCGGGGACTGCTATGAGTCAACCCGCGCATCACTAATGAAACCTAAGCTAATTGGGCAGATTGGTTACCAAGCAAAATCGTTTTGCGTGGCTGCTTTTTGTTAAGCCTAACCCTTTTTGTAACCTTAACCTCATTCTCATAACCTGCTAGGTTAGTTCGCCTAACCTGCTAGGTTAGTTCTAACCTCCCAGGTTAATTATCCTAACCTGCCTCTCCGGCTTAGCTAAAATGTTACCAAGAAGTAGCAATTAAGCAGCCACGCAAATCGATCTTGGCAACCAATCTGCCGAATTATCTATGTTTCCAGTTATGTTGATCCACTTATGTTGATCCTCCCACTTATTTCGCAACGCCCACTTACACTCTCCACGTATACAGTTACCAGGGGAGAACGACTGCCCCCTTTCATTGAAGCCACGGAAATTCAAGGCTGACCGCAGTACTGCAGGCATTGTTAGCAGAAAACAGGATCCCCATTACAGTGAATGGAAAGATTGCAATCTTCGTGGTCATTCTGGTTTCCCTAGTTACCACAGCCACAATTTCAGGCTTCTTTTTTGTAGCCTTTTGGTATTAATTTAAGGTTAGGGTTAGGCATAAGGTTAGCAGTGTGGTTAAGGTTAGGGTTAAGGTTAGGTTTAAAATCACATTTTAAGAAGATAATTTGTAGAAATAGGCGGGGTTTATGATTGTGGTAATTAGTGACGACCAGTCAATCTTCGTATAAAATAAATAAATATCCAAGACAATCATGGTACCAATAATTGCTTCTAATACACCAGATGTATGTCCTTGAACCGACTATTTTAAAGTTGCACACAGAAGATATAAGGATAATTTAGTTGCTAATGGCAGCCTGCAGTACCCCAGTTGGCCTTCAACTTGAGTTACTCAATGAGAGGGGGCAGCACTGAGCTAGCCTGCAACGTCACTTCCTGGAGTAGCTAAAACTGCGCATGTTATGTCTCAATGAGACACCATCTTAACCGACTTTATTTGGCTTCAATGCGCTATTGAGTCTTCACAGGAACGAATGGTGTCACGTGATCGATGGCTTTGTCCATTTATACTGTATATGAATGAAGATAGTTCACTCAGGCTGTTTACCATTGAAAAAAATTGTCAGTTCCGGTCTACTTAATAACTGGGTATATCTCCCATAGACACCAATGCAATAGCAGTTGGGTCTGATCTTAGATCATTGACTTTCAAAAAAACAATATAGAAAAAAACAGCGGGGAGTTTCGCTTCCTCTTCCATCCTTGCCCATACTTGGAAAAATGGCTATCTATCTATCCACATCATGTGATGCTGCCTGCCACTCTTTACAGCAAAATGTAACAACAAATTAAGGTCACATTTCTCAGGTGAGTATTCACAGAGGAAGAGACAAATGGTGAAGGTCGATTCCATTCGGATTAAGCAGACGTTAAGCAGACCAAGTGAGAAGTTTTTGTATGGGGTCAATGAGTGTCGAATTTGGTCAAGATAAAAGTGAATTGCTATTTTAATAGGTGAGGCTTATTTTATCGAATATAAGTTTTATAATGGTTAGGTTGTTACGAGTATATTGATGTTTTCTATGAAAGATAATTGGCTAGATTCGTCTGTAGAATCTCACTTCCTCCCGCCTGCCTTTCGCCTTTGCAGATACGTATTTCCATGGTTACAGTGGTCAGTGGACCATCTTGTCAATATAATAAATAATCTTTGGTATTCATCCTGCGATCTACCTTGACGATGGTGGGATAAACATGATGAGTAAAGTGTAGGCTTTATCCTGTTGAAGCAATTTCTTGAATATATATATATATATATATATATATATTTTTTTTTTTTTATTTTTTTTTTAAAGACACTTATTACAAAGGGTAATTTACTGACTCGTTTACAAGTTTCAACAAGAGGATGGAACATGTGTTTCATGATGTCTGTCGACTGAATTTCAAGAACACTAGTGTCTGTTTCACTGCAAGACAACCTTTTTAACAAGCAACAAGGCTGACACAAATGTTACATGGGTATAGCAAAGTCGTGTGTGTGAGAGAGAGAGAGAGTCCTGTCTGACATCGGTACTGACTCTGCTCTCCGCCCCTAAGTACTTCAACAAAGATATAAGCACCAGAGCAGTGATTTCACAAGAGGAAGCATTAGCAGACCAGAGTGAGAGAAAGAAGACACGATGGCAGAGAACAAGATGGGGCAAAACATTGGCGCTGGGGCTGGAATCTTTGCCAAACGGGTACAAAAGTCATTGAATCGTGCTCAGGAAAAGGTAAGCAACAAGTTTGAACTGGTGAACCGTGATATCTCTATGTTATCCTGAAATCAAGATTGGTTAATTCCTCAAGAGACAAAAAAATCAACAGTTCAAACAATTTTCAAACAATATTCAATACAACTTTTATTGTGAACTAGCCTATATAAAGTTAGTTGTCTATTCCAACAGAAAACAGCCAAATTGATTTTGTGCTAGTCTGTTAATGCCATTTTGTTGATGTTGCTTGTTCAGCTGCATGTGGACACAAAAGCTGCCACTTCCTGCCTCTGCATACACTTCCTCTCCCTCACTGCTCTTACTCGGTGGCTTTGTGGTTCACTTGGCCTAGGTGCTGGCGTGCTGCTCTGCTACTTTCACTTTGCTGCAGAAACCAAAAAAACAGGACAGGGAGCGTGGTTTGAAATGCCTGTCAGATGAAATCGGTTCAATGTGCCCAAGTTCCGTCCTATCATTTGGGGTCAACCACAGATGTCATTTTTGGGAAAGGGGAATGATAGACATTATGTTGGTCTGGAAAATAGTGAACATTATACAAGTAAGTTACGATAGTTGTTTAGAATCATTATGGAACACAATGTAGGGCCTATATACTGTAAGTGTGATTGTCATTACCTCACATAGGTCAAACTGAACAACAGTACAATACCTATTATAGAGAGTAATGTCCATTAATGTTGAGTGATAGAAAGCTGTGGATATATCAACAACTTTTGTTTTTGTCCTGTCATAGGTCATGCAGAAGCTGGGGAAGAACATGGAGACTAAAGATGAACAGTTTGAGCAGTACTCCCAGAACCTTCTCAAACAACAGGTACCAATGAAGAAAAGCTCTGCTTCAGTGTCATGCTGTTTCTGTCTCCCATGGTGAACTGCAACACTGATGCAATAGATGTTTGTATCAATAAGCCCACTGCAACTGCAACATGCTGTACAAGGCCTATACAGTGGCTTGCGAAAGTATTCACCCCCCTTGGCATTTTTCCTATTTTGTTGCCTTACAACCTGGAATTAAAATAGATTTTGGGGGGGGGTTTGTATCATTTGATTTACACAACATGCCTACCGCTTTGAAAATGCAAAATATTTTTTGGGGTGAAACAAACAACAAGTAAGACAAAAAAAACAGAAAACTTGAGCGTGCATAACTATTCACCCCCCCAAAGTCAATACTTTGTAAAGCCACCTTTTGCTTGGCACATCTAGCCACTGGGAGTTTTGCCCATTCTTCTAGGCAAAACTGCTCCTGCTCCTTCAAGTTGGATGGGTTCCGCTGGTGTACAGCAATCTTTAAGTCATACCACAGATTCTCAATTGGATTGAGGTCTGGGCTTTGACTATGCCATTCCAAGACATTTAAATGATTCCCCTTAAACCACTCGAGTGTTGCTTTAGCAGTATGCTTAGTGTCATTGTCCTGCTGGAAGGTGAACCTCCGTACCAGTCTCAAATCTCTGGAAGACTGAAACAGGTTTCCCTCAATCATTTCCCTGTATTTAGCACCATCCATCATTCCTTCAATTCTGACCAGTTTCCCAGTCCCTGCCGATGAAAAACATCCCCACAGGATGAGGCTGCCACCACCATGTGGGGATGGTGTTCTCGGGATGATGAGAGGTGTTGGCTTTGCGCCAGACATAGCGTTATCCTTGATGGCCAAAAAGCTCAAGTTTAGTCTCATCTGACCAGAGTACCTTCTTCCATATGTTTGGGGAGTCTCCCACAAACGTGTTTGCTTATTTTTTTCTTTAAGCAATGGCTTTTTTCTGGCCACTCTTCCATAAAGCCCAGCTCTGTGGAGTGTACGGCTTAAAGTGGTCCTATGGACAGATACTCCTATCTCCACTGTGGAGCTTTGCAGCTCCTTCAGGGTAATGTTTGGTCTCTTTGTTGCCTCTCTGATTAATGCCCTCCTTGCCTGGTCCGTGAGTTTTGGTGGGCGGCCTTCTCTTGGCAGGTTTGTTGTGGTGCCATATTCTTTCAATTTTTTAATAATGGATTGAATGGTGCTCCGTGGGATGTTCATAGTTTCAGATATTTTTTTATAACCCAACCCTGATCTGTACTTCTCCACAACTTTGTCCCTGACCTGTTTGGAGAGCTCCTTGGTCTTCATGGTGCCGCTTGCTTAGTGGTGCCCCTTGATTAGTGGTGTTGCAGACTCTGGGGCCTTTCAGAACAGGTGTATATATACTGAGATCATGTGACAGATCATGTGACACTTAGATTGCACACAGGTGGACTTTATTTAACAAATTATGTGACTTCTGAAGGTAATTGGTTGCACAATATCTTATTTAGGGGCTTCATATCAAAGGGGGTGAATACATGTGCACCCACCACTTTTCCATTCGTTATTTTTTTCATTTCACTTCACCAATTTTGGACTATTTTGTGTATGTCCATTACATGAAATCCACATAAAAATCCATTTAAATTACAGGTTGTAATGCAACAAAATAGGAAAAACGCCAAGGGGGATGAATATTTTTGCAAGGCACTGTATGAGTCATACTGACTGTTACTGTTGGTTGCTCAAGTCTCTTCATCCCCTAAAGGCCTTCCCACACTCTACGTCGGATTCAGTCTTTTACGATTATTACATGTCACACTGTGCGATGTGACCAAATTAAGTTCTGTCGTCACATTCTGCGATTGGCATGCGTTGTGAGGATACTTCAGCGGCGTAGGCTGCAGCAACTGCGTCAACTGGGCGTATCAAGCATGGCGTCGAAAGAACGACAACATCCAGGTGCGCGAGCAAGGCGTCAGTGTTCCTCCTATTGGTCAGTCACCAGGGATCGGCTCGTAACTCTAGCCACACTACACAATAAAGGCTCAACATTTCTGACACTGCCAGAACTTTGTTGGAGCCTACGACACACATAGTGGTACATAATCTGCAGATCTATACCCTGTCATACTGAACGAGACAAGACGTCGGGCAGTCATTTATGACCAAAAGAATTGCCCACGTCTGGGACGGCAAAATTGTGGCATAAGATGGCAAAAATGTTACAGTCTGTGTGGGCCTTTAGGCACATAAGGACCATATTCACTGAAATCCTTTTGCGTTGATAACTTTAGGATCTAAACTCTGGCCATTTGGAATGGTGGTCTACCTTACACTTTTTGTTTCCATTATAATTTTTTCTATGTAATTTGACAAACTGATATGCTGTCAAATGGCCAACTGGTTGGACGCTCATTTGAAAAAGCACTGGAAAAACCAGATGTTGTTTTGTCTGCTAATTACTGTTTTTGTGTTGAGGTCAACCAATGAAATGTTCTCCAATATATTCAGCTTATATGTTGCAAGGGAGCTATCTCTGACGTTTGGTTAACTGTTTATCTGCCCTCAGAGCTGTGTGCATTTTTTTTATATCTGTATTTTGGGTCATTTCACCAAATCAACACATGTTAAGAAAAAGTTGTCTTAAAGAGTGACTGCCGCTAAAAATCAACTTTTTGTTTTGAAAATGGCCAATGTGGCGTTGATATGAGTCAGAAACATTTAGTGTGAATGGGTTAATTTTGGTCATAAAGTGGTCTCCTCCAAAACGGAGATTTGGGAGATGATAGGAAAAAATGTCACGGAATGAAGGGTACCATAACAGTTTTCTGTGGGTTGGGCTTATTTTAATCCTGCCCACAGCTGGCAGCACCCAAGTAACCCGATCATAATGCCCATGGTCAATTTGGTATGACATTTGATATCCCTATTGGGTTTAGGGACCATCAGTAAATTACACAATGTACATGGGACAATATTTTAAAGTTCAATATCTCCAAATGTTAATGACTTACAAATCTCAAACCACCTATAGATTGTAGAAGTCCATATACAAATATTGACAGCATTTAATGAGACAACATGAAAATATTGTCAATTTACATTGTAATTTATTGACGGTCCCTAACTATCCCCAGGGATAGGCTATCCAAAGTCAAACCAAATTTGCCACAGTTGCACACCAACCAGCTGAAGCTTATTGGCTAAATAATTTTAGCTAACTCTTCCCACCTACGAACACACACGAGACACCCACATCAAACCTCACCCCAAAACCAACTCAAGTTTGAATTCTGTCATGGCCGCTAGCATTTAATTAATCAAACAGTGGCCACCCAACATGGTCTCAGAGCATTTCGTATTATTCTGTACGTAAAGCTGATACACTCCATTTAGTATATGTTATGTTTGGTATGGTTACATAAGACAGATGGTTACCTAAGGCTAAAATGAAAGGAGGGTGGGGGTGGAAGGGTGGGTGTATACCCATCTCATCACGGACAATTTTAGCTAATTAGCAACTTTTTAAACTACTTATTACTTTTCAGATACTTTGCAACTACTTAGCATGTTAGCTAACCCTTCACCTAACCTTTAACCTGACCGTAACCCTTTAACCTAACTCCTAAACTTAACCCTAACCCCTAGCCTAATGTTAGCGAACTAGCTAATGTTAGCCACCTAGACAGAATTCATAACATATCATACATTTTGCAAATTTGTAACATATTGTACATTTTTCAAATTCGTAACATAATGCGAATTGTAATTTGTAACATATCATACGAAATGGGTGATGGACATCCACAAATTAATACATACCATACGAAACGTAACAAATCATACTAAATTGAGTAACTTGGAGACCAGGTTGGGCCACCATGCCTTGTGTAAAACAATATATTCCTTATTCTGATTTTTTTTTTGTTGGCACATTGAAGCATCAGAATAAAAATACAAAAGGTAATCCTTGTTCGACAAGGACAGTGTCACTTTTAAAACACATACTGTACACTCTTCACTGTTATTGTTCGTGATATGTATGATTGTACATCTTGAATTGTGAAGATCCTGGTGTCTTTCTCTTTCAGTGTTTTTGGAGATTTATCTTCTGTAAAGGTGACGTCAACTACTGGAAAGGGTCTTTGATTGATGGATGCTCTCACTGTAAGAAATGTACTATAACAACCCCCTCATTGAATCTTCTGTCTTTTCAACCAACAGAATGATGGGGGAAGACTATTCAAAGAAGTCCAAGCGTACTTCCGTGCAGTGAAAGGTAGGAGCTGAGTTGTCTATTTCATCTCACTCCATAGCAGAGGTTTCTCATGGGCACAGGCGCACCTACGGCCAACGTTCTGATTAGTCTAATCAAATCAACTGGTGGCTTAATTGAAGTTGCTAAGCAACAAAACTGCGCAACTATGGGGCAAAACAGACGGGGTTGGCTTAGAATGTTTACATGTAATTTTTTTTGGTCTCCAATGTTTATTGAAAACATAAATACATTTGCACAATGAGCACTTGTCTCTCAAATACAATGTTACAGTTGTTGGTTAGCTAGCTAGCGAATTTAAGCCATATTAGCATTGAAATAAAATCAGTCAAACACCTCAAAACGAGACATGGCATCAAGAACAAGATGAAACTAGCTGAAATGAGCCACTTATGATTCCCCACAAGGTAGTTTCTTGTCATTGTTGCTAGCCATCTGGCCATCCAGAATCGCCCCATTAAGGCGTGCACATTGTTTTCATGATGTTGTCAGCTAACCCATCTATAGATTCAATACTTATCTTTAGTGTTGCCCTGTGCATTTAGGCAGTTCAGGCTGCCATATTCATATTGAGGTCAAAATCAAATATCTACAATCTTATCATTCAGTCTTTGTGTTCATTATTTTGGCTTTGTTTGATGTAGTTGTAGGCCTGTATTTTGTACAGTAATGAGTTAAATTTGACACACTGGCCCAAGTCTCTTTTTGTAAGCTGAGCATACTTTCAAATCCTCTCTGGTGGCATGAGGGAGAAAGTGAAGAGGGAAGTGAATTCCATCTATTATTAGATCGGTCTTTTGCAATGCTGTCTGTACTGTCAATTTATTAAAGCAAAGAACTACGGGCCATTAAAAAGGGAAGACTCAGCAAATGAATGTATTATTCATTTGAGCAGGAAATAATTGTGTTAGAATTGTTTGTTTTTAGTGATCCCGTTTGCATACCACTTCAAATGAAGACCATTTTGTTTTGACCTTGCATAGGTGTAGCCGAATCAGCAGTGTGCCACAAAACCAAAACAACTTTATCTTAATGTTCTGTCCATTATGATTTCTGTCATGCCAGGTTGTATTTATTAGGTCTACACTTGACACTTACCTGCGACTTCTGCTAGCACAATACAAAGATCGTGTTGAAAAGACGGGTCTGTCTGTGTTCAGATCTGGCTGTCCCCTTCAGGAGGTGGTCATGGATGCATTGTGTGCAGATTTCTCCTCAGTCTGGACGTAATCAGGCTACCGAAAGCGCATACTTTGGGCGACGTCATCAGCACCCCTCCCACAAGTCTGCAAAAAATGTGTATTTTGGGACCAAGGCACCTTTTCATTATAAAGTTGGAGGAAATATGTTCCTAGTGTGTGAGGAACGTGTTTGCTGGACTCAAATGCTAGCCAGCTAGATAATATTTAGAAAAACAATGTTTTGTTTGGCTAGAGTTATGCTAATCCGTTTGCAATACCTTTAACGTTGCTTGCTAGCTTGCTGGCTAGCTACAGAGGTTAGCTGGCTAGTTAGCTACTGCCAGTTGTTGTTGTGTTGTTAACATATTTAGCCTATTCCACCATTTGTAGAATGCATACTGGCATTTGAATATAGCGCGGAAAAAGGGAATCAATCAATCAATCAAATGTATTTATAAAGCCCTTTTTACATCAGCAGATGTCACAAAGTGCTATACAGAAACACAGCCTAAAACCCCAAACAACAAGCAATGGACACACTGTGGACACGGTAGAGACATTTAAATGTAGACTCATGACGCATTCGGAATTCCATGATCAGAACTATGATCAGAATACTAAAGCTGCATGAACTGTGAAGTCTAGACACGGCCTTATTATTGTACACCTTAGCAAAACGTTTTGCTGCAGAAAATAAGTGTTTCTTATTGGACAACTTAATGTAGTCCCGCCTTGTTTCAGTCCGTTTTCTTCTGTTTGGTAGTGAATACTACCCTTGTTTTTGTTTTTTTACCCACATCCCCTGACACTGTCCCCTAGCCTAGTTAACAAGCTATCTGCTAGGCAAGATACACATAAACATTATTATGACAAATGCAGTCAATAGTTCACATTTTCCTTCTGTCCTTCTCTACAGTGATGCATGAGACATCCAAGCGACTGTCCCAGACGTTAAGAGACGTCTACGAACCTGACTGGCAGGGAGGAGAGGACCTATCTGTCATCATGGAGGTGGGCCACAGCTGGGTGTTTTATTGTGGTCTATAGTAGGGATGGGCATGGTTATTTGAAATTCTGAACAGACGTTAGTATTAGATCGCTTGGGACAGTATTAATTTGAGAGAAAGATTATAGGCCTATTTTTAACAATGAAAAGGCTTTGTCAAAACAATGTTTTACTGACATTGCTACATAGCCTACAAGGATAGACCATTATATATATAATTTTTAATAATACAAGTTTTATGACAGATGCACCTGTAGCCTTCACACATGTAGCTTGTTACTGTTGGTCAATCAAATTGGTGTTACAGTCACAGGCTTCATCTGGAGCAGGTGAAGTGGGTATATTTCGAATCAATGCAAAATGGAATAAAAATTACGGAATTAAGTTGTCTAAATGAGAAGAAGTGTAGCGGTCTTTATATGTACCACAGAAGAACCAAGAAATAAAGAGCGACACCATCTCAGACTGCCCATCTTAATATTTTCTTTTTATTGGCCAGTCTGAGATATGGCTTTTTCTTTGCCACTCTGCTTAGAAGGTCAGCATCCCGGAGTCGCTTCCTCACTGTTGACGTTGAGACTGGTGTTTTGCGGGTACTATTTAGTGAAGCTGCCAGTTGAGGACCTGTGAGGCGACTGTTTCTCAAACTAGACACTCTAATCTATTTGTCCTCTTGAGTAGTACACAGCGTTGTACGAGATCTTCAGTTTCTTGGCAATTTCTCACATGGAATAGCCTTCATTTCTCAGAACAAGAATAGACTGACAAGTTTCAGAAGAAAGTTATTTGTTTCTGGCCATTTTGAGCCTGTAATCGAACCCACAATTGCTGATGCTCCAGATACTCAACTAGTCTCAAGAAGGCCAGTTTTATTGCTTCTTTAATCAGCACAACAGTTTTCAGCTGTGCTAACATAATTGCAAAAGTGTTTTCTAAAGATCTATCAGCCTTTTAAAATGATAAACTTGGATTAGCAAACACAACGTGCCATTGGAACACAGGACTGATGGTTGCTGATAATGGGCTTGTCTTTCGAAAACAAGGACATTTCTAAGTGACCCCAAACTTTTGAACATTTTTTAACTTTTTCTTCCCTCTACTACAGAGTGAGGACTTGCTGTGGAACGATTACGAAGAGAAACTAACAGACCAAATAGTCCGCACCATGGAGAATTACACTGGCCAGTTTCATGAAGTCAAGGTAGCTTCTGATGTACTCTCATCAACTGTTTTTGGTGCAGTATAACTGGTTCACATCAAAACTCTTCCCTCCCCATGTGTTTACATTGCTGCTTGGTCTTACAAACAAACAATCAAGAGACTTTATAGTGTCACTTGACTCATGGGGATTGTGTTTAGAAATATTACTTCTACCCATGCCACTTAGGAACGACTGGCCAAACGCGGTCGGAAGCTAGTAGACTACGATTCCTCACGCCACCACTTGGAGGCGCTGCAGAATGCCAAGAAGAAAGACGATGCCAGAATCACAAAGGTGTGTTGAAAATGAAAAGTAAATTCAATATTTTTTGGTCAACGTATTTGGATAAAGGTACTGAAGGCATTTGAATTCCATTTCCCTCTAACCAGGCAGAGGAGGAGTTCAACATAGCCCAGAGTGTGTTTGAGGAAATCAACAAAGAGATGAGGGAGGAGCTTCCTGTTCTCTATCAAAGGTAAAGGCAATGGACCACAGCACATCAGGGTCCTGTCCATTAGAAATACCTTATTTACATAAGTATTCAGACCCTTTGCTATGAGACTCAAAATTGAGCTCAGGTGCATCCTGTTTCCGTTGATCATCCTTGATATGTTTGTACAACTTGATTGGAGTCCACCTGTGGTAAATTCAATTGATTGGACATGATTTGGAAAGGCACACACCTGTCTATATAAGGTCCCACAGTTGGCAGTGCATGTCAGAGCAAAAACCAAGCCATGAGGTCGAAGGAATTGTCCGTAGAGCTCCGAGACAGGATTGTGTCGAGGCACAGATCTGGGGAAGTGTACCAAAAAATGTCTGCAGCATTGAAGGTCCCCAAGAACACAGTGGCCTCCATCATTCTTAAATGGAAGAAGTTTGGAACCACCAAGATTCTTCCTAGAGCTGGCCGCCTGGCCAAACTGAGCAATCGAGGGAGAAGGGCCTTGGTCAAGGAGGTGACCAATAACCCAATGGTCACTCTGACAGAGCTCTAGAGTTACTCTGTGGAGATGGGAGAACCTTCTAGAAGGACATGGTAGAGTGGCCAGATGGAAGCCACTCCTCAGTAAAAGGCACATGACAGCCCACTTGGAGTTTGCCAAAAGTCACCTAAAGACTCTCAGACCATGAGAAACAAGATTCTCTGGTCTGATGAAACCAAGATTGAACTCTTTGGCCTGAATTCCAAGCGTCATGTCTGGAGGAAACCTGGCACCATCCCTACGGTGAAGCATGGTAATAATAATAATAATAATAATATGCCATTTAGCAGACGCTTTTATCCAAAGCGACTTACAGTCATGCGTGCATACATTTTTGTGTATGGGTGGTCCCGGGGATCGAACCCACTACCTTGGCGTTACAAGCGCCGTGCTCTACCAAACAAACAAACTACATGGAGAGAGCTCAGTCAAAATTAATTTCATAAAAAAAAAGAAAAAAAGGAATTGATTAAACCAAGTGTGCCCTGACACTGACAACACATAGGATATCAAACATATCATAGCAGATGGTGGTGTTAGCATCATACTGTGGGGATGTTTTTCAGTGGCAGGGACTGGGAGACTAGTCAGGATCGAGGCAAAGATGAACTGCGCAAAGAACAGAGAGATCCTTGATGAAAACCTGCTCCAGAGCGCTCAGGACCTTAGACTGGGGGCGAAGGTTCACCTTCAAACAGGACAACGACCCTCAGCACACAGCCAAGACAATGCAGGAGTGGCTTCGGGACAAGTCTCTGAATGTCCTTGAGTGGCCCAGCCAGAGCCCGGACTTGAAGCCAATCTAACATCTCTGGAGAGACCTGAAAATAGCTGTGCAGCGACGCTCCCCATCCAACCTGACAGAGCTTGAGAGGATCTGCAGAGAAGAATGGGAGAAACTCCCCAAATACAGGTGTGCCAAGCTTGTAGCTTCATACCCAAGAAGACTCGATGCTGTAATCACTGCCAAAGGTGCTTCAACAAAGTACTGAGTATAGGGTCTAAATAATTATGTCAATGTGATATTTCCATTTTTTCCGCTTTGTCATTATGGGGTATTGTGCGTAGATTGCTGAGGATTTTTTTTTTTCATCCATTTTAGAATAAGGCCATAACGTAACAATGTGGGAAAAGTCAAGGGGTCTGAATACTTTCCAAATGCACTGTATTTCTCTCAAATTGTGCCAAATTTGTTTACATCCCTGTTAGTGAGCATTTCTCCTTTGCCAAAATAATCCATCCACCTGACAGGTGTGGCATATCAAGAAGCTGATTAAACAGCATGACTATTACACAGGTGCACCTTGTGCTGGGGACAATAAAAGGTCACGCTAAAATGTGCTGTTTTGTCACAAAACACAATCCCACAATGTCTCAAGTTTTAAGGGAGGGTGCAATTGGCATGCTGACTGCAGGAATGTCCACCAGAGCTGTTGCCAGAGAATTGAATGTTCATCTCTCTACCTTAAACCGCCTCCAACATTGTTTTAGAGAATTTGGCAGTACGTCCAACCGGCCTCACAACCGCAGACCACGTGTAGATACATAGCCCAGGATCTCCACATCCGGCTTTTTCACCTGCGGGATCGTCTGAGAATTGCACCCGGACAGCTGATGAAACTGTGGGTTTGCAAAATCAAAGAATTTCTGCACTAACTATCAGAAACAGTCTCAGGAAAGCTCATCTTCATGCTCATCGTCCTCACCGGGGTCTTGACCTGATTGCAGTTCGGTTTCATAACCGACTTCAGTGGGCAAATGTTCACCTTCGATGGCCACTGTCACGCTGGAGAAGTGTGGTCTTCACGGATGAATCCCGGTTTCAACTGTACCGGGCAGATGGCGTCGTGTGGACGAGCGTTTTGCTGATGTCAATGTTGTGAACAGAGTGTCCCATGGTGGGGTTAGGGTATGGGCAGGCATAAGCTACGGACAATGAACACAATTGCATTTTATAGATGGCAATTTCAATGCACAGAGATACTGTGACGAGATCCTGAGGCCCAATGTCGTGCCATTTAATCTGCCGCTATCACCTGTTTCAGCATGAAAATGCACAGCCCCATGTCGCAAGGATCTGGACACAATTCCTTGAAGCTGAAAATGTCCCAGTTCTTCCATGTCCTGCATACTCACCAGACATGACACCCATTGAGCAGTTTGGGATGCTCTGGATCGACGTGTACAGCAGCGTGTTCCAGTTGCCGCCAATATCCAGCAACTTCGCACAGCCATTGAAGAGGAGTGGGACAACATTCCACAGGCCACAATCAACAGCCTGATCAACTCTATGCAAAGGAAATGTGTCGCATTCCCAGTCATGTGAAATCCATAGATTAAGGCCTAATACAATCATTTTAAATTAACTGATTTCCTTATGGACTGTAACGCAGTTCATATTTCTGTTCTGTGTAGAATGAAGAATCCTTTGTATATTTCTATCTGCAAACACCCTGAACTTATTTGCACCAAGTGGCTCCAATGTAACATAATATTTTCCCTTTTGTCTAAAGCCGGATTGGCTGTTACGTGACCGTCTTTCAAAACATTTCCAACCTGAGGGATGTCTTCTATAAGGAAATGAGCGTGGTGAGGTTGTTTTTTTCTACATTCTAATATGGATTTTATTCTCCCAAAAGAAATAAAGCCATCACAATATATTTGACACATCTGTATCACTGCTATAAATAATAGATTTTACTGTAGGTGATGTAGTATGGCATCTCACTGTTCAGATGAAGAAATGTACTGCAAGTCAACTAATACTGACTAATAGAATAACCACTATTGATTGCAGCTGAACCATGAGCTTTACAGTGTGATGAAGAAGCTGGAGACTCAGCATTCAGGAAAAGCTTTCATCATCAAGGGCCTCAACAGGTCAGTGTTTTAGATGACCATGTGAATGTATCGCATTGGTTTAATGTCTCATAGTCCATATGTGATTACTGTATATATTGCTAATCAAGTAAAAGTCAAAAGTCTATTTATTTTCAATTGAGAAAACAAATATTTACTCTTGACTTTCTTCCAATAAGTCTGGAATTTGGGAAATTATCTGGGATCTGAGAATGTCAGACCAAATGTTCTGCCACCAACCAGATCAACTCACCCTCTAACTCCTCTCTTAGCACCAAGGCCAAGAAGAGGAAATCCCTGGTCATTTCAGCGCCCATCCCCTGTAACACAGCCTTCCCCCCGGACCACACATCCCTCCACACATCCGCAGCCCCCGAAAACAGCAAAGAGACCGTCCTGTCCAGCCACGAGACCCACACCCATAGCATCTCTGAGGAGCAAGCTTCCCTCGCAGGAGAGGCAGATGAGGGCGCTCACAGCGTCCTCACGTCAGAAATGTCCGACTTCTCAGATGAGGTGAGCTCCAACGGCGTTGCTACGCCCAACAGACGGTCGGCGTGTGACAGCGACAACGGGGTCGGGAGCGACGTCGCGTCAGAGGGTCTGAGTGATGCCCCAGAGGGCGGGGCTTCAGAGGAGCAGGGCCCTAGCCAATCTGTCGTAAAAGGGCAAGTTCAAAGGTCAGAGGTGACTGGGTGTGAAGTCACAATCAGTCAGGAGGCTCTTCCAAAGTCCATAGAGAGTGACGACCCACATGACACTGAGCAGGAGAGTGCGCCTGATTCTCCAGAGAATGGTAAAGCCAAGGCCCTACCTCGTCCTGCTCCACGCTGCTCCTTCCCCTCTTCTGATGCAAAGAGCACTGGAAATGACTCAGACTCCCAGAATCCACCTGGTTTCCTTATCAAGGTGATTCCCTATTGTAGTAGTGGTACTCTCTTTATAATATATTATAGTTTGTTTCATACAGTCCATTGTCCCAACAGTGTTTGCTGGAATGTAGATGTTAATCAATCATGTATCAATTATGAAGACCCCCCTGGGTTGGGCCATTTGGATTGAGATTCCATTGACGTCAATACATGATTTACGCAAACAATTGAGCCTTACGTGGGGAAAATAAACACCATACAAGATCTCACCACTTTAATTAAACGTTACTATTAGCATTTCTGCTGAGTGTCTAACAAAGTTGTTTATGTGGCGCTGTGATTGATATCAGGGAGTGGCGCTGGAGGGTCACGCTTCAGAAGACGGGACGCTGCAGTTTGATGTGGAAGACACGATTCTCATGTTCGCCGACACAGAGGAGAAGGTATGTTCGTGTGTACATTTGTATGTATGTCAGCCTCTGTGTCCTTGGCAGTGTTGGGGGTAACGCGTTATGTAATCAGATTACTTTTATGAGTAACATGTTACTTTTTCACATTTGGTACTATTATTACAGTTACTTTGTCAAACGCATCTCGACTTGTTTCTTCATTTAGTTCTTGAGCGAGCAGAGAAAGGCTGTTTGGAGAAATGTCATGACAGCTGCTGGGATGGGCACGGTTATTTGAATATCCGAACGGACGTTGGTATTAGATTACTTGGAGAGTATTCATTTGAGAAGAAAAAAATATAGGCCTATTTTAACAATGAAAAGGCTTTGTCTAAAATTAAATACAACTGTGACATTGATACATAGCCTCGAAGGATAGACCATTACATTTGACATTTTTATAAAACAACAGTTTTATGACAGCTCTCCATTAAAAAAGATGCACTGGGAGCCTTCACAGGTGTAGCTTGTTGTTACTGTCGGTCAATCAAAACAGCACTACAGTCACAGGCTTCATGTGTAGCAAGTGAAGTGGGAGATTTCTAATCAATGCAAAATTGAATGAAAATTATGGAATTAAGTTGGCTAAATAAGAAGTAGGCAGTGATCAACCAACAGGTAGGCTGTTGTGTCATATGAATGGAGCCTTGCTACTTTAGCTAGCTAGCTGGCTAACTTAGCTGGCTACTGTAGCTAGCTAGCTTCTTTACAACGATTTGATACAGGCAAGACGGGCACTACCAGATGGTATGATAGATAACCAATGGCAGCAACAAGTTTGTCTAACTAGCGCTAGTCGGTTTGGCTACTTTCTCTCTCTCCCTCTGTGCCACACACATATACTGTCACACACACTGGCCCCTGCTCCTCTTTCACCCCTCCCCACCCTTCTGCTAAAACAAACACTGGCTCTCTTGAGTCGTGCAAGCAAGTCTCCATTGAAGTTTCCACCCCCAAAAATGTTTTCTTTAAAACATGTCTTTCGACTATCCGGATATCCGAAAAAATGTCATGATATTATTCGAATAGTGAAATAATTTCAAATGTCCATCCCTAAAATGTATACAGGGCGCACCTCTGATCTTTGACATTGATCGCTTCTGTGATAGCAAAGTCCATAGAGGACTTTGCTTTCCCATCTAGTGGCAAGTGTGCCCTCTATACATCTCTATTGGTCCGTGTACATGCGGTCTATAACCAGAACGGCGGCTGGGGAGATTTTGAATGAAAAAAAATGTAACTCTGTACAGATATATGGCTTATTAAGCAGTGCCTTCAGAAAGTATTCATACCCCTTGACTTATTCCACATTTTGTTGTTACAGCCTGAATTCAAAATGGATTAAATATTTTAAGAAATCTCACCCATCTACATTTTTACAAATGTATTGAACATTTACATAAGTATTGACACCCCTAAAGTCAATACTTTATAGAAGCACCTTTGGCGGCGATTACATGTCTTCTTTGCACATCTGGATTTGGGGATTTTCTTCCTTGCAGAATTTCTCAAACTCTGTTAAATTAGATGTGGAGCAGCTGTGAACAGCAATCTTTCCACAGATTTTCAATGGGATTCAAGTCTGGGCTTTTGGCTGGGCCACTCATGGACTTTCACATTCTTGTTCTGAAGCCATTCCAGCTTTGCTTTGGCTGTATGCTTGGGGTCATTGTCCTGTTGGAACGTAAATATTTGGCTCCATTCATCGTTCCCTCTATCCAGTCTCCCTGTCGCTAAAAAGCATCCCCATAGCATGATGCCACCACCATGCTTCACGGTAGGGATGGTGTTAGATGGGTGATGAGCTTTGCCTGGATTTCTCCAGACATAGCGCTTCATTCAGGCCAAAGAGTTACATTTTTGTCTCATCAGACCATAGAATCTTTTGCCTTATGATCTCAGTCTTTCCCGTGCCTTTTTGGAAACTCGCGTGCTGTCGTGCCTTTTTCTCAGAAGTGGCTTCCGTCTGGCCACTCTCTCATAAAGCCCAGATTGGTGAAGTGCTGTAGAGACTGTTGTCCTTTTAGCAGGTTCTCCCATCTCAGCCAAGGAACTCTGTAGTTCTGTCAGAATGGTCATTGAGTTCTTGGTCACCTCCCTGACCAAGGTCCTTCTTGCCAAGTTGGATGGCCAGCTCTAGGCAGAGTCTGGGTAGTTACCATATTTTTTCAATTTCCCCAATGATGGAGACCACTGTACTCTTGGAAACTTTCAACACTCTAGAAATTGCTTTATACCCTTCCCCAGATACACTACATGACCAAAAGTATGTTCACACCTGCTCGTCGAACATCTTATTCCAAAATCATGGGAATTAATATGGAGTTGGTCTCCCCTTTGCTGCTATAACAGCCTCCACTCTTCTGGGAAGGCTTTCCACTAGATGTTGGAACATTGCTGCTGGGACTTGCTTCCATTCAGCCACAAGAGCATTAGTGAGGTCGGGCACTGATGTTGGGCGATTAGGCCTGGCTCGCAGTCAGCGTTCTAATTCATCCCAAAAGTGTTCGATGGGGTTGAGGTCAGGGCTCTGTGCAGGCCAGTCAAGTTCTTCCACACCAATCTCGACAAACCATTTCTGTATGGACCTCACTTAGTGCACGGGGGCATTGTCATGCTGAAACAGGAAAGGGCCTTCCCCAAACTGTTTCCACAAAGTTGGACGCACAGAATCGTCTAGAATGTCATTGTATGCTGTAGTGTTAAGTGTGTGTTTCCCTTCACTGGAACTAACAGGCCTAGCCCGAACCATGAAAAACAGCCCCAGACCATTATTCCTCCTCCACCAAACTTTACAGTTGGCACTATGCATTCGAGCAGGTAGCGTTCTCCTGGCATCCGCCAAACCCAGATTCGTCCATCCCAGATGATTCATCACTCCAGAGAACGCGTTTTCACTGCTCCAGAGTCCAATGGCGGCGAGCTTTACACCACTCCAGCCGACTCTTGGCATTGCGCATGGTGATTTTAGGCTTGTGTGCGGCTGCTCGGCCATGGAAATCCATTTCATGAAGCTCCCGACTAACAGTTATTGTGCAGACGTTGCTTCCAGAGTAACTCGGTAGTGAGTGTTGCAAACGAGGACAGACAATTTTTACACGCTACAGCACTCGGCGGTCCCGTTCTGTGAGCTTGTTGTTACTCGTAGACGTTTCCCCTTCATAATAACAGCACTTATAGTTGACCGGGCCAGCTCTAGTAGGGCAGAAATGTGACAAACTGACTTGTTGGAAAGGTTGCATCCTATGATGGTGCCACGTTGAAAGTCACTGAGCTCTTCAGTAAGGCCATTCTACTGCCAATGTTTATCTTTGGAGATTGCATGGCTGGGTGCTCAATTTTATACACCTGTCAGCAATGGGTGTGGCTGAATTAGCTAAATCCACTAATTTAAAGGGGTGTCCACATACTTTTGTATGTATAGTGTATATATTTCAGAGATCTACGGACAGTTCCTTGGACTTCATGGTATAGTTTCTGCTCTGACATGCATTGTCAACTGTGGGACCTTATATGGACTACAATACCAGATTTTCCTTAGCAAAAAAAGAAAACACAAAGCAGACTTAACTCTATGGTCCTTTAAAACCTACTTTTGTAAAATAGTGTGCTATAGCTTGCAAAATAAATAAATAAGACTCTAGGTGACAACACAGGACTAGCACAGTAGACTAGTAGACTAGCACAGTAAAAGCAGCTCCACAGATGAAAGGAGAAACTAGTGGTCAAACCTGAGTCAGTAAGTAGCTTATCTTTGGTAGAGCGCACGTTGCTCGCCTTGCACCCTCCGACAGTCAAACAGTAAGATTTTGAGATGTTTTCATGAAAGTAACGCAAATTAATAATATTATTCGTATTTACAGATGGCACAGAAGTTTTTTATTAAGGCACATGAAAGTTCACATGTTCCAGAAGCCATTTCTGCCCCAAAACGCATTTAGCTAAAAATGAAGTAGGGACGTGCGACATACGCCTAGCTTCCTGAAACAGGTCACATATAATTAGTAATAGTGTGTTACTTTACAATATTACTTTGTGTGGAAAGTAACACTTTACTTTTGTTAAATGCTCCTTGGTGTAGTGTAACTTCCAAATAGTCTTAACTTATCCCTGTGAATTAGAACTGTGCATCAGACTGCCCTAGTTTCAGTGACACCGAATTTGCTCTTGTCAATGTGCACCAAATGCATGTAAATTACGAGAGTTGCTCCAAGAGTTCACTTTTTACCAAGATAGCAGAACTGGGCCTGTTTTCACAAAGCCTCTCAGAGTAGGATTGCTGAACTAGGATCATTTTAGCCTTTAAGATCATAATGAATGAGAAGGGGGACCTGATCCTAGATCAGCACTCCTATTTGAGACACTTTATGAATATGGGCCCTGATCTCTCCTAAAATGTGAATAACATGGTTGTTTGTTTTTTGTTAACCCTTTCCCCGCTACAGCAGGAAAGCATGGCGAAGGGGGTGAGGGAGAAGACCTGTATCCAGCAGGGAGATTTATCAGAATCAGAATGAGTCAATTGTGGCCTCTCGTTTCCCGTCTTCCCCTCAAGATGTCATGACTCAGCACAGCAGCACACAAAGTGCTTTTTACTCACTTGCTTCCATGTCGCAACTTGTTGGTAGATACCGATGAGTTTCATACCTACTGAGAGAGATTTTTGCAGAATGTTCTGGATTGTTGACACATGATTGTCCAATCTACAGTATTTTGCCATAGTTATTTTGTTTTATTATTTATTAATTTTTATAGGGGGTAGATCAGCTTTAATATTGCAGATAGATTGTAACTTCCATCAATGTAATTGTCTGCATCACTTCCAATCCCCCATATGTTTTTTCCCGCAAATATATATACATATACATTTATGCACATTCACTACCAGTCAAATGTTTGGACACACCTACTCATTCAAGGGTTTATCTTTATTTCTACTATTTTTTACATTGTAGAATAATAGTGAAGAC